GCTGAAGGTTGTATTTTAGGAGACATTTGTAAATCTTTTGCCTTGTGATAGCAGGAAAAACCATGTCAAAAGCATTCTGGCAATTTGTATTTTAATTTAAGTTTTATGAGTTACCATTTAAAGAAAAGCAGTTGCTTTTTGGTAAGCCTTCTTAAGAGGTTAGGGCTTTGATCTCAAATCCCAGGGAGGCTTTGCAGAAATTGGAGGTGACATTGTTAACAGGTTTTTCTGTAACTATTCTACTGCCGTTAATTAGACACACACACACACCCTTTATTTACTCCCGTGGAATAAGTGAATTGAACTTGATTTTTGATTTTTGATGGGAAGCTATGAGAGAGTCCAGGGAAACATCAAAGAAACAATCTAGTATAACTGACTCTCAGAGAACCTAGCCTTAATATTAAAGCACCCTCGATTTCAGCACTAGTCTAGTTTTTTCCTGTAAAGCGTTATTCTGCTTTATGATAAGAAAGGGGCGGTGGCAAAACAATTATCCCTGCCCAGTCTATTGAATTCCAGAGGGTTACAGTCTCTTTAATTTGATCTCACTTCTAAAAATCTCATTTGTTACAGTGTCTATACTTTCCTTTTTCACTTCCATACTATGTATACCTTCAAGGTCTCAGCTTTAACATCTTAAAACTTTCTTTTCCATTTGAATTTTAGATTTTTCAAGTCATTACAGCTACCTTAAAACTCTTATCCTCCCAAGTCCTTAGAAATGAAGGTACAGACAAATTTGACGTATGTAGAAGCAAGAGGCCAGAAGGTGCCTTTGCAGAGACAAATCTGAACCTCCCAGTGGTTGGGAGGTCCGTGGTCACGTCTGCTTCCAGATCCCCACTCTTAGAGTGCTCAATTGCTCACAGCAAATTGCTGTCATAGGCCAGCTGGGGCCAGACACTGTTTTAAGCTCCAAAGAGTAGTGAGCAAAAGATGCAAAAATCCTGTTCCATGGAGTTTATGTTCTAATGGACAATTAACACAATAACTAAATACAGTATGTTAAAAGATGTTAAAAGCTATAGAGAAAACAAGGCCAGTGCAGTGACTCATACCTATCATCCCAGCACTTTGGGAGGCTGAGGCGAAGGGATCACTTGAGGCCACGAGTTTGAGAACAGCCTGGGCAACATAGCAAAACTCCACCTGTACAAAAATAAAAAATAAATTAGTGGGTGTGGTGGTGCACCTATAGCCCCAGCTACTCAGGAGGCTGAGACAGGAGGATCACTTAAGCCCAGGAGTTCGAGGTTGCAGTAAGTTATGATGGTTGCCACTGCAGTCCAGCCTAGGCAACAGAGTGGGACCCTTTCCATAAGAGAAAAAGAAAAAGAAAGCAGAGAAGAGAATGATGTTGGAGTTGGTTTTTATTTTATTTATTTTATTTTATTTTTTATTTTCTTTTGAGTTGGAGTCTCTGTTGCCCAGACTGGAGTGCAGTGGCATACTCCGGCCACCGCAGCCTCGGACCTGCTGGGCTTCGGCAATCCTTCCGCCTCAACCTTCCAAGTAGCTGGAATTACAGGCGTGCGCTACCACGCCCGGCTAAATTTTTTGATTTATTGTAGAGATGAGGTCTCTCCAAGTTGCCCAGGTGGGTCTCGAACCCGCAGGCTCAGGCAAATCACTCACCTTGGCCTCCCAAAGCATGGGATTACAGGCTGAGCCACTGAGCCCGGCGGTTTTTATTTTAAATAGGGTGATCAGGGAAGGCCTCACTGATGAAATGATATTTAAGTGAAGACCTGAGGAGCTGAAGGCGTGAGCTTTTGGAATAGGTGTGGTAAGAGATAGCATCAAGTACACTTTCTGAGGCAGGAGGATGCTCAATGGTGGAGCAGTGAGGAGGCCAGTGAGGTTGGGGAAAGCTAGCACCAGAATTGGACGAGGTGTGGACAGAGGTCTCTGCAGGTCATTTAGAGACTTTTGGGCTACCCGTGACTTGAGACTTTTCTCAGATTGAGATAGAAGTCACTGGAGGGTGAGTGGGCTCATTTGTTCCCTCCCTCCCTCCCTCCGTCCCACCCTTCCTCTTTCTCTCCCTCCCTCTCTCTCTCCCTTCCTTCCTTCCTTCCTTCCTACGGGGGTCTTGCTATATGTTTCACAGACTAGACTGAAACTCTTGGACTCTAGGGATCCCCCCACCTCAGCTCTTAAGTAGCTGAGACTACAGGCATGTGCTACTGTGCCTGGCTTTTCATGGGAGGATTTTGAATGGGGCAGTGACATGATCTTATTGATGCTGAATAAGATCGCCGTGTCTGTTGGGCAGACATCAGAGGGTCGTTAGGTGGCTGTTGCACTAATTTAGGCCAGAGACAGTGGTCACTTGAGCTTGGGTGGAAGCAGTGAGACATATTTGGTTGCAAGATATGTTATAAAGTCAGAGCTAAAAGGATTTCCTGGTGGGTTGGTGGAGAAGAATCAGAATATCTGCAAGATTCGAGCCTGAGTAACTGGATCACATACTCTGTCACACATGCCTCATTATCAGTGGCTCTTATTGGTGTCCAGATTATTACTATTACTGTTATTATTTTACTTTATTTTTAGAGACAGGGTCTTGCTGTGTCACCCAGGCTAGAGTGCAGAGAATGCAGTGGTGTGATCAATGCAGCCTCCAACTCCTGGGCTCAAGCAATCCTCCCACCTCATCCTCCTGAGTGGCTGGAACTACAAGGGCATGCCACCATGCCTGGCACATTTTTTACATGTTTTCTAGAATTGATGTCTCGTTCTATTGCCTAGGCTGATCTTGAATTCCTGACCTCAAGTCATCTTCCTGCCTCAATCTCCCAAAATGCTGGGATTATTGGCATGAGCCACCATGCCTGACTTCAAATTATTATTGGGCAGTCACTCTAGTCTTGATAATGAACCTGCAAACACTCTGGTAGCCAGGAGGATATCTGTGTGACCTTCTGAGCCCTTGTCAATGGTACCAGGTTAATTAACAAGAGAGAACTTTGCTCATTGGTGTCAATTGCTTAGTTTTCTTGACATCATCTGATTGCACATTGTGACATCACATTCTAGAGGAGGAGCTAGGACAGGTGTTGGCACCATCCAAATCTACACCTCAGCTCTGAGTCTGAAAAATGCAGGGAAAGAGCAGGAGAGTATGAGACACTAAAGTAAGGAATGGAAAGATCTGGAAATGTTTAGTGCAATCATCTCCGAAATGAAAATTATCAGGAGCAGTAAAATATGTCTTTCCCTCATAAGCATCTCCCCCTTTTATTTCTACCTCTTATAGCTTCCAGTCAGAAGATAAAAGATGTGACTTTCCGGGATAACCAGAGAGATAATTAATGGGCTACCATAGAGTGTGTCAAAAACAAAGATGAAGTCCCACATTTGGTCACTGAGGGATGGCAGAAGAGGTCTACAGATCTGTCTAGTCAGGTAGACTGAAGGTACGGGGCTGTCCCAGGGCCCCACTCTTGACTTCACCAACCCTGCTCTTCCCTACTTAAATAAACCTCAGAACCAATTGTGGGAGAACATGAGGACATGGTTTGCTATGCTCTTGGCCAAGAATAGGGCCCCCCAATCCCACTCTGTTTATTTACTAGGAATCTTGTTTCCCAGCCCTGCCTTGCTCATGTAGAGTTGAGTAAATCTTAATCTGCCTGAGTTCTTATCTCAGGAAGAGCAAAGGGCAGTCCTGGAAGCTCTCTAAACAGCAGGTGCAGGGAAGAGTGAAGAGGAACGAGGAGGGTGGAGACCAGTGGAAAATATCTTTGGGAGGCCAAAAAATCCATAAGGCTAATGAGCTGGAGAAAGGAGCAGGTGGATGGGGGAGCTGGTGCCTCAGGATGCAAACTGGAACCTACGGGTATAGGCGGTAGGGAGACCAGATGGACTGGCATTCGGTCAAACCAGATGGGGGGCTTTTATTTTTAAAAGGATTTGTAAATCCCAGGAACAAGGAACCATAAGGGTACTAGGGCCTTTAATCCCATTAGTGGAAGACAAAAGTGTGCTCTTTAAAAAATGTAAACCCACCAATTATAGAATTTCTGTTATCAAAACTTTGGGACAGACAGCTAGCTTGTGAAACTCCAGGGACTCTCAGAATTTTTTACTGATGGAAGGAGAAACTACGGAAATAGTCTAGGCATTATAAGTTAATATAGGCATTTTAAGTTAATATGAAGACTCTTTCTTAAGAATTTATAGTAAATTTACTAAAGGTACATTCTAAGCCAAGCAAAGTATGAAATATATGTGTACGCAGTAGGCTTGCTCACAGGTCAAGCTGGGAGAGCAGCTAACGGTATAATTCAGGACTGATAAATTATTGAGTACATTTTGAGTTTGTAATGAGAGAACTTTTAAAATTTAAGCATCTATTGCTTTCCAAAACATCAGAACCCTGCTCCCCCCACCCTGGATGGCTGACCTCAGTGCAGCACAGCTGCTCTCTGGGTGTTGAGGCATAAGAGCTCCGGTCTGCAGCCCTTGTCTCCATCCCAGCCTTTGTTTGAGGGCCCAGGGTGTGCCATAATCCTTCTCCAGCAGGACTAGGCTCTCACATGTAGCTTGGTGCCATCATTTCATGCTTCTGTGTGGCGTGAGTGTGGAAGCTGTGCCCATAGAACCATGTCTCCTCATGTAGACGAGGCAGAAGGGCAATGGAGTGTCCTGTGTGCTAAAGGTTAGGAGGAATCTGCCTTTCTGGTATCCCGTATACCTGATTCTCATGCCAAGATGAAAAGCCTAATGAAATCTAAAAGTTCAAAGCAATGCTAAATATGAAGAGAAAGTTTTAAGTAGTATGATGTCATCATTTTTCTGTTTAGAATGTACAAATAGAGCCATTAAGTAACTATCAAAAATATCGCCTCATTTTTTATGCTGTTTCATAAATATTTCTTTCCTTAATTTCTCTTGAAAAGTATTACCATTATTTTGTAGTTGAAACTGAATAGAGTTGCTTTCCAACACCATTGACTGTTTTTGTGCTTGCTTTCCTGTTTTTACCTATAAAGGTATGGAAATCTGACAAGCCCCAACTATGAAGAGGATGGAAGCCAAAGTTCATCAGAATCCAGGATGGTAATCAGGAAGTGAGTGTGCTTTTTCTGTATTATAAGATCTCAATCAAGGCAATATTTTAAAGTAGAGTTTTTTTATTCCTTTGAAAGTCGCCATGATTTTTTTCCATAATACATTTGAACAGAGACTAATTTTTTGATTACCTAACAATATTCATTTATTCAGCCAGTAAAAATGCATCGCGCACCTACTGTATGCAGGTACTGTGCTAAGGCATACAAAATAACCAAGTGAGCAAAACAAATGAACAAAAGAAGTAGTTCAGCTCATATTAAGTTTATATTTTAGCAGAAAAGAACAGAATACACACAAGCAGTGAAGAAGAATGAAACCAGGTAGGAGGCTAGGTCTCGAAGGATAGTAGGTTCATATAGGGTGCCTGGAGTGGGCCCTCTGACCTGGAGGCATTGGAGCACACCTGAATGAGGTTACACTGCGCCTTGTGAATATCTAGGCAGAGACTATGGAAAAGGCTCAGAGGCAGAACAGTGTTGGAGAAACAACAGCGAAGTGAACAAGGCTGGAGAAAGTGCTAGAGGACTAACTTTGTAAGGGGAGGGCGCCGCTCACGTGGGTCTCAAAGAACCTGGGGGAGAACATTGAATTTGATTCTGAGGAAGGTGAGAAGCACTTGGAAGGTTCTGAGAACTATGCTAAGACCTGACATGTTTTAAAAGGCTTGCCCTGACTCTCTGTGGACAACAGACTGTGGCAGTGGGGATGGGGGCAAGGATGAGAGCAGAGATCCAGGCGAGGGCTGTCGATGGTGTGGGCTGGACAGTAGCATGGGAGGTGTCTAGCCTCTGCAGAGATCTGGTGGGGACAGGATAAGCTGGAGTGGATGGACTGTGTGAGAGAGAAAGAGGAAGCCAGGATGCCTCCAGGGTTGGGGTTTGAGCAGCTGATAAACAGAACCTTGCCGTTAGGAGACAGGGAAGACTGGTAGGCGGGGGAGCAAGCTTGGTGGGGAGTGTGTGTCAATAATTTTGTCACTGACACGTTAATTTTGAGGTTATTGACTGAGTATCGATTTCAGGGAGAGGTCTAGAGTGGAGGTACATTTGGCATCCTTAGTTTATATGTGGTATTGAACACTCTGGGACCGGCTGTGACTCCCTGAGGACTCAGGGCAGATGGAGAAGAGGAGATGCAGAGACTGAGCCTTGTTCCTCCAGTGTTTAGAGCTAGGAGAGTAGAGGGTCCAGCAGAGAAGACTGGAGCGGAAAGGCTTTGGGGAAGGCTATGGAGGAGAAGAAAAAAAAGAAGAAGCTGTGTCCCAGAAGCAAAGAAAAGCTATCAGGGAGGCAGTTACCAGCTATGTTCAATGCTGCCCACAGATCAGGCAAGAGGGGTTGGGAAGTGACCCTTGCTTTGTAATGCTGCAGTCTTTGGTGACCCTTGGCAAGTACAGTTTTGGTGGATGGAGGTGTGGTTCAAGAGAGAACACAAGGGGTCAAAATGGGGACAGTGAGTCTTGTTAGAGGAGGAGCTTTGCTATAAAGAGGAATCAAGAAATGGGATGGAGGGTGGGGTGTTTTTAAATTTTTTTCATTGTCCATGTGGGTTTTCAAGATTTTTTTTTTTTGCTGATAAGAATGTTCTAGGAGAAATTGAGAAAACATCCATGATGCAGGGGTGGGAGCCACTATAGGAATGAAGCTTTTCAGTAGATAGGATGTATGCCTGGATGCCTGAGACCACTGGCCAAAAGTCTGGGGGATGATCCTGTGGAACTTTGAGCTCCTCAGAGGATTGACTGATTAACTTTTTTCTTGAGGAGCCATGGATATGAGAGTTAGAAAACTTTTTTTTTAACTCCTGATTTAGGCTCCGTGTAGTTTTATAATTTTAGTAGGTAGATCATAACTTTCCAGAAAACCAGAAATACTAGTGTAGATATTTGAATGCCAAGTGCAAAGTATGGTGGGGGAAACAATTCCTTTGTTTCTAGAAGGGCTTGGGGAAGGCCTCTGGGAGGAGGCAACATTTCAGCTAGGCCTTGAAGTATGGTGATGGTTTTGGTAGTAGAGCCGTCCAGGCATAGGAAACAGTGGGACCAAATATGGAAATGCAGTGACAAAGGAATTTTGGGAAACAACACAGAATTGGTGTGGCTGCTTCACATGTTGGGTGAGGGGTGTTGGTGGAACTGAAGCTAGACTGGAGTTATGTCACGAAGGGCTTTGACTTCTTGAGAGTTTGGACTTTCCCTCGGAAGCAGTGGGCTTTCAGTCATATAGGTTTTTATGGGAGGGAAACAGTATAATCAGATAGGTGACATTTTGGAATGGATTAGATGTAGAGCTTTCTTCCTTCAAGTGTGACCATGGGCCTACAAACAGACAGCATCATTTGGGAGCTTGTTAGAAATGCAGAATTTCAGCTCCCACCCAGACCTAAAGGATTCCAATCTGCATTTTAACAAGATCCTCAAGTGATTCTGAAGCACTTTAGAGTCTGAAAGGTATAGGATTAGAGGGTTTTTTTTGTTGTTTGTTTGTTTAAGTTTTTTTTATCCATGAAAACTTAATAAAATAATGACTTTTTAAAAGAGGTTTTTTTTTGAAAGCAGGATTTATTGGGAGGGGACCTGAAGGGGTTGCCCTAAAATAACTTTTTTATAATAGGTATTTTTGGGTCTATACAAGAGAAGACATATGTAAGAACTGAGTGACCAGCTTGTCAAGTGTAACCTAGATTTGTGACCAGGATTCATGAATAAGCAGGCTATTATCCATATAAGTTGTAACTGAATCAGATCTAGAGCCACCATTCAATTAGCCACCTGAACACTCCGAGGAGAGTGACAATCTGAAAAATATCTAGAGCTTTTCTGTTTCCCAGGGGGTGTTTTGATGTCAAATGGTTTTGGGGAAGTAGCAGTTAAGAAAATTGTACCCTGGATGTAAAATGTCATGCTCATTATTTTAAAGTCCCATTGAAATTCATTGTACACCAAGAACACTGATGTGGGTGAAACTTCAGGCTAAGTCATTTTAAAGGGTTTTGGAGTTTTAAGCATATGAGGCCTAAACAAAGAGCTTCACATTGAACTCCCCTGAGGGTTCCATCATCTAGGGACAATGGTCCTTTCCCAAAGTCTCACAATAACTTGGTGGGAAGTCCCTGACCCTTTTCCTCAGACTGAGTTGCCTTTTAAAAAATTATGCCTGATGAAAATATGTCACTTTATTTTATAATGGGTAGCTCTGTCCTACAGATTCTGGAATGTTAAAATCCCTTTCCACTGGTGACCTCTTTCTTCCTTTCATTTCCCTTTCTTCTTACTTACTGGTTTTTGTTGTTGTTGTTTTGCCACTTCTCCCATTGCCGTTTCTCAGCTCACTTCACTATTATCTTTTTGCTCTTTTTCTGAAGTTACCTCTCTCCTGGTCCTCTCTGTGCCTAGATAGGGTCAGAGCTTTGTGTTTCTGTCAGGAAAGCAGGGAAGCACCTTCTCCCATCCATATGGAGCGTATTGCAAATTCCTCGGTCACCCCAGACCTCTGGCATCTGGCTTGTAGCGACAATTGAAGGCCCTGATGGCTGAGAGATGCATAGGAGGTATGGCTATTTGGCAACGGTTCTCAACGGATTCATCTCCTGGAAGACATTTGTATGGCAATGTCTGCAGACATTTTGGTTGTCTCAACTTGGTGGGGGATGCTGCTGGCATCTAGCAGGTGGAATCCAGGGATGTTGCTAAACATTCTAGAATGCACAAGACAACTCCCCTGTCCCCCAGCAAAGAATGATTTGACCCTAAATGTCAATAGGGCCTGGTAAGAAACCCTGCTCTACAGTGTTGAGGCTGTAGTTCTCAAGTGAAAGCTGTCTTTATTTAGGAATATCCATTATATACAAAAATGGGAGCATTCTCATTTGGGAATTTATTTATTTGTATCCTTTTTTGTAATTAGGTGAATCAAATGCTGAGGTGGTTCAGAGCACCCTATGGAAAGTAAAAGACCCTGTTATGGAGCCTGGAGAACTCATATCCAGCCCTTCTTTGTCACTCTGTCACTTGCTAGTCATGTGACTTTGACTTAGACATGTCACCTTTTAGTTTCAGTTTCTTCACCTGAAAAATGAATGCTTGGAATATATGCACTCTGAGGTCCTTTCAAGCTCAATGATGTCTAAAATAAAATGTATTTAGCTTTTTCTTTATCCTTTTAAAAATGAAATTGAATCTCAGAAACAGAGATATGGTCCAAAGATTATAATGGACTTTTGAGAGGAACCTTTGAGAGGAAAGACTGTGTAACCAGTTTTGATAAAACTGGAAGAAACAGACAGGCTTTGATTGCCTGTTATTAGTTGTGACATTAGAGCGGTTCAGTGTGGTCATACAGAGCTGAGCTGAAGCATTGTATTGTGGAGTACCGCAAGGAGTGACAAGATGCCTGTTTTCCTTTGCTATGAGTCTGTTCTCTTGTGATTTCAGGTGGGAAGCCGACAGCAGGAACCCAATGACTTTCTAGGAAGTAAACATCCTGTGTTAGAGCAGTTGCCTTCAGTTTTGCAGAGTTGGGTGGAGGTGGGGTTGGGGACAGGGAATTACTTTTGAGTTTAACCTTGAACAGAAAAATACCCAAATATTGTTTGTTTTTTCAGCTTTTGCTTTAAAATATAGAGCAACCCTTACATTTTATAGAGGTTTCCAAGTGCCAAGTTAGCAGTCTTTCCTGTAATTCTAAATATAGATCTAAACCTTTCAGGGTAGTGAAAGAACTTTAAAGAAACATAGAAATACAGATAAAGCATTCAAAATGAAAGATTGGTTTCTGGTATCTTGAATCACAACTGACTAGTGTTCTTCATGCATTTAGAAAAGTACCAGATTGTGCAGTGACTCCCACATGCGGAGTACTTGTAATTCCAGTCCCGAGTATGCCCAGTTCAGACTTTGAACAGAGTTGGGACCCTCTAAAGTTAACTGGCTACAACAAGAATGTCTCCAGTTGCAAAGACTTCAACTTTCAAGGCTTCCAGATGTTGGAATCTTTGT